CGCGCGGCGGGCTCCAAGCCACCGCGCCTTCTCAAAGCTCTGGACCACGCTCCTTCAGCTGACTGCAGACTCCACCCTCCGCATCTACTGGACATGGACCCCAACTGCTCCTGCGCCACCGGTGAGGCTGGGGGCGCTTGACTGGGCTCTCCCTCTAGCGCTCTGCGCGCCTGGTGACTCTCAGGGGGATAAAGGCTCCGGTGAACATCTCTCTTCACCCTGGGCGATTTTCATTCTGAGCCTTTGTTTCCTGGGAGGGCTCACGTATTGCTGGTGGAGCTGGGACTCGAACCCGGGGCTCCTAGCCTAATTCAGCATTGGGGCTCAGGGAACCGTTCTCAACACTACTTTTTACTCCCCTGGCAGGAGGCTCCTGCACCTGCGGCGACTCCTGCAAATGCAAAGAGTGCAAATGCACGTCCTGCAAGAAAAGTGAGTAGGCTCCGCTCTCCCCTGTCCTGTCACCCACGGACTGCACAGCTCTCTGGGGAGGGGGCAGAGAAGTGTCCCTCTCTCCTGAGAGCAGGCGCCTGCAGTGCCCCATGCTGGGCAGTAAGGAGATCCTCCCTTCTGCCCTACCTGCTCATTCCCTCTCTCCCCTGCCCTCTCTCCACAGGCTGCTGCTCCTGCTGCCCTGTGGGCTGTGCCAAGTGTGCCCAGGGCTGCATCTGCAAAGGGGCATCGGACAAGTGCAGCTGCTGCGCCTGATGGGAGAGCCCTGCCCAGCTGTAAATAGAGGCCCACCTGTACAAAGCCGGAGTTTTCTTTTTTCATACAGCCCTTAGATGTTTCCTACAATCTTTTTTCTACAAAATAATATGAAAGATAATAAAAGTTGGTGACTTTAATTGGCTCTAGTTTCTTTGTGTGGGTTGGGACTAGGCGCCCCATGGGCACTGGGATCAACTGGGCTTGGTGTGGGACTCAAATGGGACGTGGACCCCAGGGTTAGCCCTTCCGAAGCCAAGCTCCCTATCAGAGCTCTGGAGAGGGAAGAGCCTCTGAGGAGGTGGTGCCAGATGGTGGAAGGATGGGGCAGGCATGGCCCCCCTCTGTTCTCAGAAGCAGGAGGGATGGCTTAGAGTCAGTCGCTCTTCTCTCCCAGACATTCTGCTTCCAGGGGTGTCAAAGGAGGGCATGGAATCCCCTCCCGCCTGCGTGGTTCCCCACAGCCCAGAAGCTTCTCCGACTCCCTGTGCAGGAAAACCACCTTGCATCTCCTCCTGCCCCTTACCACAACCCTAACCCTAAGCCTAGTGAACCCATGCAAATGAATTCCTAAGAAAATGGGGATGATATGGAGCGCCACAACTGTGCAAGAACCCGGGGACTGCAAGTGCGGATGTGCACGCTCTATCCTAGAGAACAGAAAGCTCCTGTACTCCCTCCCATAAGGACTTACAGCCTCAGAAACCCACAGGGCAGTTGACCTCGTCCTGTAGGGTCATCATGAGTCAGAGTCAGAATCCACTCAATGTCAGGGAGAGGAAGACACTGCTCTGGCTTACGAGCTACCGTGCAAAAATTTGCCAGGGGGAACTTGAGTAATTATTTTTTTCTTTCTGAAAAGCATACAGTAGGCCAACTAGGTTTAAGAACTTATGATGCAAAGGAACAACATAAAATCAAAATCTGCCTTTTGATGTTAACAGTAAAATCTCAATGATAGGAACCAATAAGATCAAAAGTAAATAAAAAATCCTAAAACC